ATTCAAAATGAGAAGCAATGCCACTGTTGATAGTTTCTGACCTGTTTCTTTTACTTAAAATTTGAAATAGTTATTAACAACTGTATTACCAAATACTCAGCCTCGTTATTAACCACTGTATTCCCAAATACTCAGCCTCGTTATCAACCACTGTATTACCATATACCCAGCCTCGTTATTAACCACTGTATTACCAAATTCTCAGCCTCGTTATTAACCACTGTGTTACCAAATACTCAGCCTCATTATCAACCACTGTATTACCATATACCCAGCCTCGTTATTAACAACTGTATTACCAAATACTCATCCTCCTTATATGAAATAGTTAGTAACCATTGTATTACCAAATACTCATCCTCGTCATTAACCACTGTATTACCAAATAATCATCCTCGTTATTAACCACAGTATTACCAAATACTCAGCCTCATTATCAACCACTGTATTCCCATATACCCAGCCTCGTTGTTAACCAATGTATTACCAAATTCTCAGCCTCGTTAGTAACCACTGTATTACCAAATAATCATCCTCGTTATTAACCACAGTATTACCACATACTCAGCCTCGTTATTAACCACCGTATTACCAAATACGCAGCCTCGTTATTCACCACTGTATTACCAAATGCTCAGCCTCGTTATTAACCACTATATTACCAAATACTCAGCCTAGTTATTAACCACTGTATTACCAGATACCCAGCCTCGTTGTTAACCATTGTATTTCCAAATTCTCAGCCTCGTTATTATCCACTGTATTACCAAATACTCATCCTCCTTATATGAAATAGTTAGTAACCATTGTATTACCAAATTCTCAGCCTCGTTATTAACCACCGTATTACCAAATACGCAGCCTCGTTATTCACCACTGTATTACCAAATGCTCAGCCTCGTTATTAACCACCGTATTACCAAATACGCAGCCTCGTTCTTCACCACTGTATTACCAAATACTTATCCTCGTTATATGAAAAAGTTAGCAACCACGGTATTACCAAATACTCATCCTCCTTATATGAAATAGTTAGTAACCACTGTATTTGGTAATACAGTGGTTGATAATGAGGCTGAGTATTTGGTAATACTGTGGTTAATAACGAGGATGATTATTTGGTAATACAGTGGTTATTAACGAGGCTGAGTATTTGGTGATACAGTGGTTAATAACGAGGATGTGTATTTGGTAATACAGTGGTTAAATACGAGGCTGCGTATTTGGTAATACGCAGCCTCGTTATTAACCACTGTATTACCAAATACTCATCCTCGTTATATGAAATAGTTAGTAACCACTGTATTACCAAATACTCATCCTCGTTATTAACCACTGTATTACCATATACCCAGCCTCGTTGTTAACCATTGTATTACCAAATTCTCAGCCTCGTTATTAACCACTGTATTACCAAATACTCAGCCTCGTTATTAACCACTGTATTACCAAATACTCAGCCTCGTTATTAACTACTGTATTATCATATACCCAACCTCGTTATTAACCACTGTATTACCAAATACTCATCCTCGTAATATAAAATAGCTATTAACCACTGTATTACCAAATACTCAGCCTCGTTTTTATCCCTTGTCATTATTACTGGTAATGTTCAGCAAAACAACAAAAGATTTCATCATGGCAAGAACAAATATCACCAAACTCATTACAGAGAAAAGAAATTAGAACACTGTTTTAATAACAAACTTAGAACATGACGTCTAGAGAAAATTATAATAGAGATACTTAAAAATGATCAAACGAATCGTTAATAAAACAGTTTTATAAATACATGTATACTGAATGCACGTGGTTGTGTAAATTGTCATTAACATCGTTGTAAAATGCATTAAATGTTGTATTATTCATTTGCCTGTTTAATATACCAAACTGCAATGAGAAATAATCCTGTTTTCTATATTACACCGCTGAATTAAATTTGTTCACCTGTTAATTGGTTTTATACGTTCTAACATATCATTTGCAATGAAAGTGTTTGTTCAAATGTAAAATTGGATCATTAAAATAAATAGAAAAATTCATCTAAAATGGAAAATGTTTTTAAAAACATTATCAAGCAACATAATACATCTCACCTGCGTTTATATGCAGCAGGTTCAAAGCCATCACAAGTACAAGCATTACTCTGGAAGTCATGATACCGGTTTGTCTGTAGTCGGAGGACCTGTAAGCCCCTTTGTTTTTTCACTCTAACGAGCAAATTTGAGTTAGTTAGACTTATATTACCCCACTGCACATATTGTTTTTTGGATGCGTGCGATTATCAATACTTATACATTACAATGGGATTTTTTTAGTGGCTAGTCTGCTGTTATAAAGATAACGTCGGGAAGGCGGCCTGACATAAGCCATGGAACGTGTGCGTCGTTAGTGTGCGTCACGTGTATTTCTAATATACAATCAAGTAGTATCAGCCAATCCCTCATCGCTAATGAGACCATGGTCAAATTTTGACTAATCCTTTCACATACAGATATATTTACTCAATTTTATAGTTAAACAGACATTACTTAAAATTTTATTCTGCAATTTTCGTATCAAACATTGTGTCGATAGAATAGTTCCTTTTGAATACATTTTCTTGTAACTTGTAATTTAACGTCAATCTCTTAACCCGTGTATATATATAATTATTCACTTGTATTCAGCTACTTGCTGAGTTGTGTTCAATGAGATAATCGCCAGTGGAGGGTCGTTTCTTCTTGTAACATAAACAATTAAACTGTAAAAGAACGTATTATTTCATATTTAATCAAGTCTGCATCGCTTACATGTTATACTATTCTTCTTTTATCAAACTAATAATCATACTTTATTCACCTCGCAGTTAACGCCCATGTTAATTGCAATCTAACCAAGGTAAGTATACTGTATGCAATATCATTCTTGTTGCTGAGCCTTTGGAATACAATGAGGTCGCCATCATCAGAGGTAAGTATACTGTTACAATATCATCCTTATTGCTGATCCTTTGGAATACAATGAGGTCACCATCATCAAAGGTAAGTATACTGTTACAATATCATTCTTATTGCTGAGCCTTTGGAATACAATGAGGTCGCCATCATCAAAGATAGGCACATGTAATCCCCCTCCAAGTGAATATCATTCAGGTACAGTAAAATATCCTTTACCACGTCTAGATTTATTAAAAACCTGTCAAGCTAACGATCAGTATTGTTCCGCTGAACTTACCATGGGGTAGACTTTATAACCCGTTTTTCAATCTGTCAAGTATTGACGTCATGTGGTGACGAGTGATGTTCATATATTGTTGCTTTGGATTGATATAAACATACGCTAGTCGAGTAGAGAAAGCAGACGGCTACAGAGAGGGAAGCTTGAGTGAAGTTTAGACCACAAATTGAAGGTCTTTCTTCAAGGCAATTTGTTTTACGATGTTGACTTTCACCGGCCATACAAATATTACGCTGAGCTTGATCACGGCTACACCAAGGCAGAAGTCTCGATGCATTTTATACGATACATCAAGAAAAATATGAAAAATATATACTCTTTCTCATAAAAAGCAAGGTTAAACATGCAAAATAGGACCACTGCCAACATCGTCATACGTCGTAAAAGCGCCCAACATGTTGTGGCAGGAAGATACAGGCATCTCGTGACAAATGTTTGTACGCACAGAAGAACAGCCTAATATCAATTGATCTTTATCTAAGCCACCTCGCATATATAATAATAGCATGGACACTGAGATAGATATAAACACAATTTAATTACATTTTACTTGGTTACTTCGTAGAATAAATGTAACCAACATGTGTGCATACCATGGCGCGGCTGCATTTTAGGCTCATTGCACAGACGTCATGCACATACCACACAGACGTCATGTACATACCACACAGACGGCATGTACATACCACACAGACGTCATGTACCACACAGACGTCATGTACATACCACCCTTTATTTATTCATTTATATGCACATTTAGATGATCATCTTGTTTAATTTTGTTTAACAATTATAACTAATACTATTATCCATATGCTGTAAAGCGCTTTAGAGTAATCTTACAAATTATATGGGGCGCTATATAAATGTTGTACATTATAATTATTGCAATATATAATCTGCGATGTGGTCATCCAAAATTGTGATTATTTCAAGACAGCACATCATCTATATATCTAAAAGATGAAATTCAAGGACTTGGTGAAACGAGTCTAAGATTTTTTATTGACATTTTCAATAAAGTCCGCCTTATATGAAAACAAGCACAAGAGGCCAGAGGATGGGCACAACTTGTTACCAAAGGAATGCCTTTAGTCTGATGGAAAATCTTGCAAACGAACTTTCCAATATAATATCAATGTGAACCTCAATCGTGTTCATAAGTCCATCCTTAGTGTATTTCATTTTGTCCTCTGTTTTGTTTCTATTCGCCTCATGAGCACGGTCTCAAAATTTAACTAGACCTTGTTTATTGAGGTAAGGTCGTTAAAAGATGTATACATACACATTTTACCATATGTCACTTTAAAAGTGAGACAAGGTCATTCACAGGAACACAGTTGATAGCTCTTCGTCTGAGCATGCTACTGGAAAAATTCAGAAGTTGTTTGAAAGTTTCAAAACATTCGACTCCTGTGATTTTGTATATCGATGGTCATTCACTCATTCCAGCATGTTACTTGCCACATCACCCTGGGCCTTCTGGCTATTCAGAAGAAGTCGTTTAAAGACTTCATCATACTTGACCCCTGTGACCTTGAATACGGGTGAAAATGATTCATCTGGACATACTTAGGAGCCATTTTATCCTAGCATGTTAATGGACAAATATCATTATCCTTATAATTTAAGACAAACGACGCGTGCGGTCTTGAATATGATTGAAGGTTATTAATTTGAATACACTTGGTAACCCTTCATACCATCATACTGCTGGCCAAATATCACCGCCCAAGCCATTTTGATTATTCAGAAAAAGTCGTTAACATTATCTTTAACGAAATAATTTTAATAACAAATATTTTATCAACGTGAACAATAAATGTACACAACACAATTAATTGTAGTAAACAAATCACCGACAATAACTCATTCTCCCTACATTGATTTCTTATTACACCAACAATAAATACAAATATAAATCTTCCATCTCAAAACAAATTGTCTAAATCAGATTCAGAGTAAGTACAATAGTAAAATATGCCTCCTAAAGCAATCATCAATCTAATAGATATAATCGATGTGATACGTGGAATGTGTGATATACATGCATACATTGCTGTTTGAATATACGAGACTGTTCCAGCCGTTATTCCAGGACCGCAGAGACTTATCCGATTCACAATAAGCACCGAGGATTGATCACTGTATATGTTTTTATATGTTATCAAACCATGAAAGTCGACAGAAACTCCCATCCTTTTGAAGTGGTATTGATACCACCTGATAATAACAGCTGGTTACTGGGAAAGCTTACTTTCTATCATGCACACGTCTTGTTTTGAGGCTGTAGCTGGTAGTGATTGGAGAAGGACGAATAAACCACAAATTGATGTAACCACGAGTAGATATGTGGCTCCAGGTAATAAACCAATTCTACCGACAGATAAAGATGTACAATGTACTTGGGTTATTACACATCGACAAATGTTCTTAATAATAATGACAAAAGTGTGGCAAAAACGACGTTGGGTACAGATTAACGACGTCAGGTACAGATTAACAACATCGGGTACAGATTAACGACGTCGGGAACAGATGAACGACGGCCTACTGATTAATACTGTTCTGTGTGTGAGCTACGGAATGTAATATTCTATATCACATCCTTTATCTCATTTAAAGGTGCCCTATCATATGGGCTGAAACATTCATGCCACGAAATGATGGACCTGATTATGTAATATATTGCATTAAAATTATGAAGTATCACAGAGTCTGTATATTAAATCACAAGTGATATATCACAGCGTTTACTGTTCATCATCTAGACTTAGGGTAATTGTTATTCCTTAGTGATATGTTCAATGTTTTCTTAACTGGCAAGTCTTTAAAGGTAAGCTTCACATAAACACAGCACACTTGTCACAATTTGGATGCTTTAAGATTTGTTTCTGGTAGGAAGGACTTCTCCCCAGATGGTCTAACGTATAAATCCTGCTTCATTCGTTGTAACATCTCCCTGTCGATCCCATTAGGTCCAAGCGCCTCTATTGCCATCTGTTTAGCTTTTTGTATCAACTCCGATAACTCGGTCATTGCATCAACAAGAAAGAGTTCTTTGGCCTCATTAGCGGTAACACGTTTACCGAATAGCACAGCCTCCCGTATAGCTTTCATAGCCAATACCTTTTTACTGAAAAAACAACAGACTAAATCAATGTTTCAAAATTTGTTGATTAAATATATACAGCAGTTTAAGTAATAAAGCAAATGACCTTGTACGTTACATAAACAATGTCTCGCAGCATAGCAAGGTCCATGTACGCTAACTTGAGACGGTCTATCATTACAACAAATATTATTTACCTGTGACAATTTATCATTTCAATAAAGGTTGTTTACCTGTGACAATTTATCATTTCAATAAAGGTTGTTTACATGTGATAATTTATCATTACAGTAAGGCTGTTCACCAGAAGATCTAACATAACATTAAGTTTTGCATACCTGAGGAGGTTTAAAAGCATATCACCTAAACGTAGCTTCAGATGAGTCTCGTTCCATGAAATCCAGCCTCTATCTGACCTCATCACCCGGTAGTCATGGGACATGGCCAGAAAAGCTCCACCAGCAAACGCATGACCTGTTACCGAATTGTGAATACCTGAATTAATAACGAGCAAATCCCGAGTACATGTCAAAAACTTGTAAATATAGTCAGGACTATCACCTAAACATACACTTGTTTAGAGAGTCCGTCTTCTACGTGACATACCTTTGGTATTCCATTTCGTATCAAATATTATATGGACTATAGCATAAAGTTAATTATTACCAAAATCTCAGATTACAAATTCATCTCTTAAAAAAGAATATTGTCATCACCAGGTATGTTACGTAGCCACCTTAAAGTGATTAGTCGATGGCATCATGACAACTGTCATTACCTCGATGGCGATTGGAATTTGTTTGGTTTATAGGGACAAGCTAACAACTTAGGTCATTTAATGGCAATGTTTGAAGACATTTACAGTCTATAACCGTTGATGAGTACAGTAACTTACCAGCAAAGAAAACACCAACTACTTGTTATAGGAGTGTTCAGTAAGGTGTGTAAATATAGGATCTTACATGAGTTTCCATTTCATATGAGATTTATGAAACGAGTCTAAGATTTTTTTAATTTAGCGAGTCTCTGGCGAGGTAAAATGTTATGGTGAAAAGGAATCGTTATAACCTTATGGTGAAAAGGGGATGATTGATGTCTAATCCTTATAACCTTATGGCGAAGAGGGGATGTTTGATGTCTAATCCTTATAACCTTATGGCGAAGAGGGGATGTTTGATGTCTAATCCTTATAACCTTAT